ACATAGCATCACTTCTTTTTCCTCTTAGAATCACTGTGTGCTGCCCAAGAACAGACACTAGATTTTATGTTCAAAAGAATTTTAACATATACTAGAAAAATTACAACTGCTTAAAACAGCAGAAATACAAGTTTAAGATCCGGGTTCCAACCCAAAATTTCCTCCTTATCTTTCAGACACCCGTGTACCTTTCTGGAAGGCCCACTTCAGATTTCCTGCCCACAAAGGCAGTGGATAATGACATGATCAAACCGTGAGAACAGCCCAGCAGAGCAGAATCACAGCATCCCTCCTACCGCCTTAGAAAAACAAAAGGATCAGACTGATTCTTTGCTTTACTGACTTCATTAATCAGTAAAAATGTATTATTTAATGCCGCCATATATTGCCTATCCTTAAATGGACACCACCTTCTTTCAAATATAAACAAATTTTCCTTGGTTTTCTACAAAGGCAGGAAAACTGCACACTATTAGAAGGTGTCTAATCCTCCCATCTGCTGTTTCCTTAGAAAAATATTTACTTTTAAACATCTGTACTGCATTTCCACAGTTCAAACACACACATAGCTCCTGGAATGTATACAGTATTTAGCAAATTTTTAACTAAGTTTTCTTAGTAATTGTATAGTTTTCCCTTGACAAGGAGAGGATCAGACTTTTTCAGGAGGATTACTTCTGCTCAACTCATTTCAAGCAGCTCTTGAATAAAATAGTTCATTAGTTCATGAAAAGGAAAAACTCCAGGGAACTGCTGAGGAAGGAAGAGAAAAGAACAGAGTGCCACAGTAATTAGGTTTTCAGATTGTCCCTTATCCTCCAGAATGCAGGTACACACACACATGTCCCTCTTCACCTTAGGTAAAGCATTTAGGAGAGCTCATTGCTCGTTTTTTCCCTGGGAATCAGTGTTCCAGAGATTAAAGTTGCAACCAGGCCACCATTTCCCGGAAGATACTAAAAGATACCACTTCCTCATAGTACATTACTATTGCTACCCAAGAGTGAAATGGCAGCTTTCTCCCCTTTGCAAGCATTTAAAGGAGCTCAGATTCAGACTTCCTCAAAATTCAGTTTCCTGACATTTTTAGGCTCCCATGACTCATGCCAGAAAACCAAAGTATCTCCACACACCAGGAACCAGGTGTGTCTGCCTGGGTGTGCAGGCAGCCAGGAGGCAGCAGAGCCAGTGACTGTCCTTACCAGGCATCAGGGAAAGGATTGGAAGGAATGAGGATGAGAAGTA